TTTTTTGTAACATGATCATCAATAGAAACTTCTGCGCATGAAAAACAATCTACCTTAATACCTACTATTAATTTATCTTATCAAAAAACAAGCGCTTACCAAAACAATACACAAAAGATTTCAATACAAAAATGGATTGTATCACAAAAAAATTTAATAATCCATCTGCGTATTTCATCATTGAATTCATTGAAGAATAAATTGAATGCTGCGTTCTTTTTTTCCTTATCTGCATAAAAAATAACTTAATTTGAATAAAACTTAATTTGCTTAATAATAATTTAATTTATTCTCTCTCTTTATAATGGCGAATAAAAGTTTTTTATTTCCACCTTATGTTAATAAATTTAGTTCACCTAAAATAACCGAAGCAAATTGGAAAGCTGCACTTGAGATTTGGATTTTGAATCTTTCTTTGCTTCTAAAGTTAAATGATGAAAAATTTAGTAAAGAAATGATACAAAATGAATCACTTCAAAAATTCATCGAAACTTTTCTTGGGATTCGTTCAAAATCCTGTAGACTGGTTTCAGATCAAGTTGATAGTTCGGCAAGTCTGGAATTAGATAAAAAAGTTTTATCAGTATTATTAAGATCCTCCGAACCTAATATTTATTATACTTCAAATAAGAAGAAGAATAAACTTTCATTGGCCGAAGCTTTATATCAAGATAAAATTTTATCAATACCATTTTTACTTGATGTGGTCGCGACTTATGGAAAATCAAATTTCATTCATATCAAAAAGTATTTTGATAATATGATCAAATTGGTTCCTAAATTATTAGAAGATTTTGATTCTTACGCAGAGACAATTATCAATTATTTTAAAACCATTCAAGAAAAATTTCAAGAGATGACGGATGGTCAACAACTCGCTAATAATACGATTCATATCTATGTTACATATGTTTTGGATATTGGAATTACTTTAGATTGTTTATTTATTATTTCGAAAAAAGTGGCAAATATATTTAATAATAAGCGATATACTGGAACGAATAATATTGATTTATTAATTATTACAAAAAAT